TTATTTCTCATAGAAATTCCCTGAACTGAAACGCTTTTCCTTTCCCTTGTTTGTGCTGGCTGAGGGTGCTGTGAGGAACAGGAGCTCTGCTCATGTGCTGCCAAGGGCTCAGTTTTACCCTTCTCCAGTGGGGACAAGGAGCTGCTCTGCCACAGCATCAAACACTCCCAAGGGATGTCAGGCATCATCCACCTTTAAGGGAAAAGTTCAGTCTCCACTTTCAAGACGTGGAAGGGCTTAGCATGTCCCTTAAATAATGTTGTCTGTGTTTATTATTTTTTATGGTTGCATCTGGTACCTGTTCTTGTCAGGAGTACAAATCCTCATTTTTATGATGCCAAATGTAACAAGACTTTAAACAGGGGAGGACAAACAGCTCAGCTCTCTGTAGCTTAGTGCAGAGCCAGGAGAGCTGCAGTGTCCCTCCATCTGTTCCCATCTGCCCTGTGCTTTCCCTTGTCCTGCCTGAACATAACTTCACATGCAAATTAATTTTTAATAAACACAAATACCTACCGTCTGATGAGTGCAGGGCAGCACTGTTTAAAAGGGCAGCTTTGTTAAATGTTCTCTGTTCCAGCCCAGCAATGCACCATTGCCCAGGGGAATCTCTGGCTGTGCAGAGATTCCAGCCTCCTCCAACCCTGAGGAGGCTGGAAAAGTGACCCAGAGATACATGTAAGGCAGAGGTGTGGTGATTTCTGATGCTGCCTGGTCTTATCTCCTCTAAGAGAAATAGATTTGGAGTTTCAGTGCCTCTTCCTGAACTGTGAGATTAATTTTTAGGACCAATTTCCCACCCAGAAAACACATATTTGAAGATGGAAAGAACAGGATCCTTCACCTTCAGGTATCCCATGACTGGTTGTGCTTTCTTAAAACTCCTCTGAGAAGTGTTCTGTAATGACCTGGAGCTCTGAGCAGCCCTCAAAACCTGCAACCTACTCTAAACAGGTGAAGAGCCCTTCCCTGCCCTGCCAGGGGTTGCCCCTTGCCCACAGACCTTGTGCCCCAGCCCTGGCAGCAGCTCCCGGGCCGGCTGAGAGCTGCCCCTGGCAGGCAGCAGAGTCCCTGCCCAGCACAGCACCCTGGGCTGCAGGACCCTGCTCTGCCCCACAGCCCTGGGCACCCCTGGCTGCACCCCCGGCTTCACAGCTCTTCCAAAGTGCCCCAAAACAGCCCCTGCTCACCCATCCCATCAGCTGGGGCTGGGCCAGCTTTAGGAGATGCCTCCAGGAGCTGCCCCTGCACTGCCCTGCAGCCACAGACTCACCATGTGCAGCCCTGCCAAGATTCCTCCTGCAGGGAGCTCTCAGCCCTCCTGCCAGTGCTGAGCCCCTTGAAGCTCTGTCTGTGCCCTGCTGGTGTCCCTGAGCTGCCCTGGCAGTGCCCTCAGCCCTGCTGGGCTGTGCAGAGGAGCTGCTCACCAGCAGAGCTGTCTCTTTGAAGCTCTTCTGGGTTGCCAGGAGCTCCCTGTGTGCCAGGAGCCCGGCCCAGCTCAGCAGCACAGCAACAGCCCCAGGCATTTCATGACCCTCAGGGGGTTTGGCATTGTTTACATGAGACTCAGTCCCTGAGAGGAAGTTCAAACAACTTTTCAAGAAGTCAAAGTGAGATTGAAACACTGAAGTTTCTTGTAGTGCTAATGAGTCCCATTGAGGGACACAACTGAGAACGTGTCCCCAGGTTCCAGTTAGAGCAGAAAACTGCAGACAGTGATGACAAGGATGGACAAGCAAGGGAAAGGTGGCTCTGATGCTGAGGAAACCTGGATGTGTTTCCTTAAGCCAACGGGCCAAGCCCTGAACCCAGCCCCTATGAAGGCAGATCCTGTTCCTGCCTCATTCCTCAGGGCTCTTCCTGGGGCACTGGGATGTGGGATGTGCAAGGCCAAGGGCAGGACCATGGGGTGGCACCTACCAGGCTGCTGAGCAGGGACAAGGAGGTCACGAGGCCCCAGGGCTGCAAGGGGCACTCCCCTCCTCCTGGCATCAGGGGCACAGACAGCAGCCATGGCCAAAGGCCTGCAGAAGGTGGCTGTGTCAGGGCCTTTCAGCTTCTCCCCCTCCCTGTCTCCTCTCCAGCCCAGGCTGTCCTACGGTGTCCATGCCCTGCCCCTTTTCCTGCAGGCTGTCGTCATCCCCCCGGCTGCCCCACCTGGCTGGCACCTTCCTGCACTGACATCTCTGCGTCCTCCCTGGCTCTTCCTGCACACACAAAGCCTTGGGCTCATCCAGACTCCTTCTGGGTGAAGTGTTGCAGCACACCATTGCCCTCAGGGTGAAACTCCGTTCTCTTTGTTTCCAGTCTGGATCTCTCCAGCTGAACTTGGTATTGTTTCTTTATTTCTCATGCTGTTTCCTGCTATGACAAAAGGATCCTTCATCTCTGAAACCCCCCTTCAACCCTCTCTGGCTACCCCTGCACTGTCCTCAGTCTCCACACCATGGAGCCCAGAGCTCCTTAGTCCCTACAGAGTGGTCATGGGCTTGAGGCCTTCAAATCTTTTCTTGGGAGATCCCTGGGTACTCTCTAAGGTGTTTGCAGATGAACACATGGTGATCACAGTCTAAGGAAATCACAGGGATACGTTTTACAAAGGCCTGTATTGGCAGAATATGGGGCAATTGCCTTAAACTGAAAGATTGGAGTCTCATATTGATAATAGGGGTCACAAGTCGTGCCAGCAAATCTGCTCCAGTGTGGGCTCCTCCCTGGGCTGCAGGGGGGTCTCTGCTCCACCCTGGACTCCCCCACAGGTCACAGGCCCTTCAGCTCGAGTTCACGTGGAGTTCCAGCCACCAAGGAGCCCCAAACTCTGACACACAGCCAGGAGCCCCAGACAGCACCAGCAGCTGCAAATTTCAGCAGCACATCCCAGACACATCTGTCAGTATCTCCAACACTCCCAGCCCCACCCTGGACACCAACAAAGGCTGTTGTGGTTTCACCCCATGCAGCCCCCAAGCCCCTCCTGGCCACTCCTCACTCCCCCACCAGCAGGACAGTGGAGAGAACTGGGAGAGGAAAAGCTGGAAAACTCGTGGGTTGAGATAAAGACACTTTAATAAGGACAAGCAAAAGCTGCACGCAGGAGCAAAACAAAGGGGATTCATTCCCTGCTTGCCACGGTTGGGCAGGTTTTCAGCACCTCCAGGAGAGCAGGGCCCTATCCCATGGAATGGTGGCATGGGAAAACAATCTCCATCACTCCAAACCTGTCCTGGCTATGTCCCCTCCCAACCTCCCCCACACCCCAAGCCCCTCCCCAGTGTGTCTGTGCGAGGGGCAGGAAAGGCCTTGGCTCTGGGTAAGCTCAGCACTAACAAAACCCCCTCTGTGTTCTCAAGCCTGTGCTCAGCACAGAGTATTGTACAGTGTAACTTTATTGCACAAGTTAACTGAAAGGTCCATTGTGTTTTTTAGCAAGTCAGCGAGATGTCCCCCATGATCAGAGCTGAGTTCCTCCTTGGCTTGGCCCCATACTGCAAGATGGACACAAATACCCCTGAAACACAGTGGGAGAGGTCGTCCATAGGGGTGAGAAAGATGATGCTGAGAGGAAGATTCTGTGGGCAGGGGTCACTGGCCCCTTGCCCTACAGCAGGGCATGCACAGACTGTTGCTATCAGGTGATGAACAGGCAGGGTTTGGCTGCCACTCAGGCATCACCTTATACTGGGTACTGGCCCTACGTGGTGTAATGTAGAGCTGATAAAATGGGGTGTCAGGACTGCTGGGGTGAGCAATCCTCATCCTGCCATGGAGACTGTGTTGTTCCATGGGGACGCCCGCTAAGCACGGGCACCGACCAGCTGCTGCAGATCCTGGCAGCCCTGGCCTGTCTGTGTGGGTAAGCACAGTTTATTGACAGGAAGCAACTGAGAAAGCAAATGTTTTATATCCTTTTTTAATATCCTTGTAATTCCCTTTTTACTAGTTAATACTGTAGTAAAAGCCACTCATAGTATTGTTTTAATATCCTTTAAATGTTCCTTTAATTCCCTTTTTACTAGTTAATACTGTAATAAAAGCCGTTCATAGTATTGTATGAATGCCAACTGATAAGGCAGTTATTTTGTATTCTTTTTTAGCTTTTGATTCTCTTTGCTAGTTTTTTATTCTCACTGCAATAAAAGATTTTTTGTAGTGTTTGAATGTCTGTTGTACATGTTGTTATTCCGGGCATGTATTCAAATGAACTAACACACAGGGGCACAGCTCTTTGGGGCAGGAGACGAGCAGCAGCCTTGCCAGGGCTCGGGGCGGTGGCAGGTCTCCTTGGGCCAGGACTTGCCAGAGCTGCTGATTTGGGTACAACCCTGGCCAAAGGGCTGCCAGCAGCATTGGTGCCCTTGCCCACACCTTCCTTCTCGGTGTCAGCCCCCCTGTTTAGGATGGCCACCAGCCAGCACTTCTCCCAAGGAGGCCGTGCCAGCTTGTGTGGAAGGCCCCGTGCCCTTCCCACTGCGACAGAGTCGGTGGCCGAGGGGGCTCCTTGTGCTGCCATGAGCAGGCACAGGAGGGGAGTGTTTGCTCATTTCTTGAGCTGTTCCTACAGTTCAGGTCCAGCCAGATTAGATACTTCAGAGAGAGGATTCCCTCCAAGGTGGGGCAGGTTGGCGGGGCTGGGGTAGGCCCCAGGCCACGTGGCACTGTGTCCCAGGGCCCTTTGTGACACGCTGGGCATGGCCGGTGGGATGGAAGGGGGCAGGGTGTCCAAGGGCCCTTTATGACCCGTGGTGACAGAGGTGCTGCTGGTGACACGGCCACAGTGTCAACAGTGCTCCTCGGAGCAGGCGACGGGACAGGACGGGACAGAGCGGTGCTGTGTGGAGCCCCCGCGCAGCCAACTCGTGCCTTGCTGACCCGGAGCGTTTTGGAGGATTTTCTCACTTTCAGGTGACCTCGAGGCATTTCCACAGGACTTGGAGACCCGGAGTTTCTCCGAGGTGTCTCTAATCCCTGTGGCAGGTGCCCTTGGGACCCTTTTGCAGGACTTGGAGACCCGGAGCTTCTCCGAGGTGTCTCCAATCCCTGTGGCAGGTGGCCTCAAGGCCATTCTGCAACTTAGGGCCCGGAGTTTCTCCGAGGTTCTCTTTCTCTCTTGCAGGTGCCCTGGACACCAGACTGTGGCATGGCAGGGAGACGCTTCAGCCTGCTCAGGCTGCTCCGGAGGAAGAAGGAGGAGGAAAGCCCTGGAGCTGCTCCAGCACAGCAGCCTGAAGAGGTGCAGCAGGTGCAGCCCCCGCAGGAGGGTGAGTGCTGGAGCTGGGCCACAGGGCTGGTGGCTGCAGCCCCCTTGGCCTCATCCTGTCCCATCCCGTCTGGACATACCCAGGGAAAGGGAGGGGGGCAGAGGGGCTGGGGCTGATCTCCTGGCAGCCATGCTCCATCCACTGGGCACCCTGGGGCTGGCCCTGCCTGCTCCTGGAGCCCAGGCCTGGGCTGTGTTCTCCGGCCTCTCCCGCACACCCTCAGCTCTGAGTGCGCTCGCTCTTTGACAGATGCAGGCCAGGAGCGGACAGAAGAGCAGCTCCGTGCCCGTGGCCGCTTCCGCAGGGCAGCACAGGTACCTGCAGCCATCCCCGCCTTGGCTGGGCCTGCTCTCACTGCTCAGCCCAGCACCGCTGTCCCAGCCCTCCAGGGGACATCCCTCTCTTCCCTGCCCTTCTTTCTCCTGCAGACATTTATGAAATTCATGGGCAGTCGGCGTAGAAAGTCCAGGGTCACACCAGCTGATGTCCAGGCCCAGCCTGACACCATCCCGACCCAGCTGACAAAGCCTGATGTCAGCACCGCGTCGACTGCTGTCCCAGCACAGTGTGACACCACAACCAGTGATCACACAACCCACTGGGACACCACCGATGATGTGTCACACTGTGACTCTGTGCTGCCTGGTCTCACGGAGGAGGCCGACGCCACAACGACGGAGGGCGTGGCAGGCACTGACACCTCGCCTGTTCAGCGCCTGGTCGATACCCCCAGCCTGGACTTTCTTGAGGAGAGAGCTGTCTCTGCTGAAGTAAGCAGCCTGTGGCCCCCCAAGCTGGGTGCGCTGGGCCCCCTCAGCCTTTGAGGCTGGCACAGTGTGCTGGGAAGGGAAGCATTTCTCAGGGGAAGCTGGGCAAGTATCTAACTCTGGAAGCTCTCCACCTCTCCCCTGTGCATCTTCCAGGCCAGACTGTGGGACCTGGGGACCTGGGGCTGCTCAAGGCATCTCCAGTCCCTGGGGCAGGTGCCCTCGAGGCCAGACAGTGGGACTGGATGAGGTGAGGCATTTCCCAGGCTTCTCTCTTGCAGCTGCCTTCAAGGCACGACTGCAGGACTTGAGGAGCCAAAGCTTTTCCATGGCATCTCTGCTGCAGGTGTCCATAACGCCAGACAGAGACATGCAGCAGAGACCCCCCACGGTGCCCAAGCTGGCCTGGGTGAAGGAGGAGGAGAAGGAGGAAAGCCCTGGGGCTGCTCCAACACAGCAGCCTGAAGAGGTGCAGCAGGTGCAGCCCCCGCAGGAGGGTGAGTGCTGGAGCTGGGCCACAGGGTTGGTGGCTGCAGCCCCCTTGGCCTCATCCTGTCCCATCCCATCTGGACATGCCCAGGGAAAGGGAGGGGGGCAGAGGGGCTGGGGCTGATCTCCTGGCAGCCGTGCTCCATCCACTGGGCATCCCGAGGCTGGCCCTGCCTGCTCCTGGAGCCCAGGCCTGGGCTGTGTTCTCCGGCCTCTCCCACACACCCTCAGCTCTGAGCGCGCTCGCTCTTTGCCAGATGCAGGCCAGGAGCGGACAGAAGAGCAGCTCCGTGCCCGTGGCCGCTTCCGCAGGGCAGCACAGGTACCTGCAGCCATCCCCGCCTGGGCTGGGCCTGCTCTCACTGCTCAGCCCAGCACCGCTGTCGCGGCCCTCCAGGGGACATCCCTCTCTCTTCCTTGCCTTTCTCCTGTAGCTGGTTTGCAGATTCATCAGGTGCATTTGGCACGAAGAGGCCACTTTCATGGCCACTGGGGACACGGCAAACTTGGACCTCTTCAATGCCCAGACCAGCGCTGCCCTGCTGGATTTGCTTGTGCAGAACGGTGTCTACAAAGCAAAGCAAGTAAGCAGCCTGTGGCCAGGGCTCCAGTCCCCCAGGGATGCTGTGGCCCCTCACGTCGGCTGCTCTGGGTCCCCTCAGCCTTTGAGACCAGCAGAGTGTGGTGGCAAGGGGAGCAATTCTTGGGGGAAGCTGAGCAAGTTACTGGCTCTGGCAGCTCTCCAACTGTCCCCCGTGTCCCCTCCAGGTGCCGGCCATAGTCAGGTGCATCCATCAGTGGCTCACGTCCAATGTGTCTGCTGAGCACAGGCTGGACAAGACTCTTGTCCTGCTGACCGAGGCACACCCCACGGATGTTGCAGTGACCCTGCTGCGCTCTGCCCCAGCCTGTGACAGGTATGGGGCCCACCTGCCTTGAGGGCTCACCTGCCTTTAGACCCCATCCCCCTGGACAGCCTGTCCCAAATGGTGTGCCAGAGACATGGAGACTTCCCAGACACTCCAGCTCCTCTCTTGGCCAGCTTTGGCATGTCAGCCTCCAATCCTGAGGCCAGCCTGCCTCCCTGCCCCACAAGGCACCGTGGCTCTGTCACCTGGGCCCCGCAGCTGCCCAGGCCACAGCGCTGTGTCCCAGACCCCCCTGAGCCAGAGTTGTGACTCCACAGAGCTGCTCGCACCATGTGGAAGACGCTCATCTCCTTCAGACGGACTAAGGAGCCGGTGCTGCAGATCCTCTTCTGTGTGCTGGAATACTGGCCAGCGCACAGGAGACGCACCTCTGATGGGGATGAGAGGGATGTCTTTGCCCTGGCTGTGAGTTTCTTGAGCTGACCTCTGCTTGGCCCCAGGTTGCCTCTGGGATGCCTTTCCATCCTCCCTCACCACTGCTTCTCCCTGCCCCAGGCACTGGGCTGCAGGCCTGCCTTAGGGGCAGGTTCAGGGACACCAGGCTGGGGGATCCCCCTGTGTTTCCTCTGGCCTGTCCCTGCTACGCTTGGGCCCTGCCACATGGACATCTGGGCCCTGAGAGCTGTCTCTGGGTGCTTTGTCTTTGGCAGGCAACTGTGGCACTCTGGGAGATCCTCCAGCTGTCCCACTCCTGGTGCCCAAGTGCAGTGAAGGACAATTTCCCCTGCCTCCTTCTGACTCTGCTCTTCCAAGTTTTCATCAGCACAGAGGAGATGTCAGAGGAGGTCGAGACCTTCTGGAGGCGATGCCGGGAGCAGCGCAGCCTTCCCCCCAACCCCAACAGGTGCTCCATCCCAGTCCCCTCTCCCTGCCACGCCCTCGGGGCTGGGGCCAGGGCTCTGTGCCTGACCTGGGCTGTGCTCTGCACACAGGTTTGCAGTGCAGACTGTTAAAGCCCTGCTGCGCCAGCTGCTGGATGAGGACGTGTTGATGGTGATCGGTCGCAAGTGTGGCTGGGACATGCTCCTCAAGGCTGACAGCCACCACTATGCAGTGGGTCTGCTGGCCAGGTGAGAGCCCTTTCTCCCCACTGCCCCACACCCCCACAGGTCATTTCTGCCCTGTGCACAGGCCACCCCTCACAGTGCCCGTGCTGCTGGGCCAGAGGGCCTTGGCAGCCAGGGATGGCTGAGCAGAGTGGAAAAGGCGGAGAGGGGCGGCTGCACAGGAGGACCCACCTCCCAAAGTGCCCACGTCCTCTCCTGGGCTGGTGGCCAAAGACCAGGCCTGTGTGAGTCAGTCCCAGGAGAGCTTTGCCCACCTGGCTCAGGGTCTCTGGCACCTTTATTCCCCCTTGCAGGGAGCTGTGCCGTGTCTCCCGCTCCTTTGGTCGCAGCATCGCCGTCAGCCTGCTCCCGCGGCTCAGCAGGGGAGAGCCCCTGTGGGAACTGCCTGCCCTGGCGTTCCTGGTGGAGGTGAGCCTGATGGCGAGCGCTGCCTGGCCCAGCTGCCTCCCCCTCTCTGCCCTCTCACAGCCGCAGCCGCCCGGGACGGTGCCTGCACCCTGTGCTGCTGCCTGGGCCCAGCCCCGGGCGGGTCTGGGCTCCTGCCGG